GGGGGCATCGTAGCTAACTCCCATTTCCCCGTGTCAGGGAGGGATTAGGGTCGGGTTTGTGCATCCTAGGACGTCCCGGACTACTGACTGCACGCCTGGGATACAGGGGGAGAAGGAGTCTCGTCCGGCTGTTGAGTGATTTTACTGTTATTGAGTTACTTATTGCTGAAAGCTCTGGGACCTTCTGCACAAAGCTCCCCGTCTGCTCCTCTGTCCAGTCGTGTGAGCTGCCCCCACCCCGAGATTAGGGTCGGGTTTGTGCATCCTAGGACGTCCCGGACTACTGACTGCACGCCTGGGATACAGGGGGAGAAGGAGTCTCGTCCGGCTGTTGAGTGATTTTACTGTTATTGAGTTACTTATTGCTGAAAGCTCTGGGACCTTCTGCACAAAGCTCCCCGTCTGCTCCTCTGTCCAGTCGTGTGAGCTGCCCCCACCCCGAGCCAGGGCATCTGCCCCTCTCTCAACGCGGTAAAAGTTACCCCTCCGCCCGGGGAAGCCCTGTCGAGTCAGCTCAGTGCTCGGTTGAATCGAGGCCTGCCTCTTGCTCCGATGGCTAGCAAATGCGGGATCTGATGAGTCACGTTAACTTAAAGCTGAAGATCCATTTGTCAACGGCTGCCAGTCCTCAGGAGATCTGGTCTGAGCTGTGTTGATGTCCGCTGTCAAGGCAGCACGTAGAGGCTGTCTCTGACCTATGTCCAATCCCAAATCATTAGTATTATTAAAATGTCACGCCGGGGGGCGTACATTACCAGGCTGTGCCTGCGAAGGAAAACCGCTGCTGCAGTTATTTCCATCAAGCAAGTGGAAGTTTTGCCACCGACAGATTTTGGCAGCCTGGTCATGCCACCAAGATGAAAAGAGGGTGGTGCATCTCTGCGGTCAGGGCAGCTGCATAGTGATACAGATGTTCCCCTGACGTCGGAACAAAGCGGCTGATGCAGCCGGAAGTGGAGCTGGCGCTGGGGAGGGCTGTTACGTGCTTAGGAAGCTCTTCCCCTTCTCTGCTTGTAGGGGGTTGGCAGAGGCATGCTCAGAGGATGGGGATTGTGAGGGTGGGTGTCACGTGCTTGTTCTCTTCTCCCATCTCCCGCAGCTTCTGGACAGGAGGAAGCAAAGGGCTCCCAGCCCGCCATCTGTGATGTCTCTGAGGAGCTGAGCAGGCAACTGGAGGACATCCTCAACACGTACTGCGTGGACGCCAGCCAGGAGGGCCCCGGGGATGAGGGGGGGCAGAACGAGCCTGCAGAGCCTGATGAGGCAGAGAAGTGCCGGAGCGAATCCCCACGCAACGGGGAGCAGGAGCCGGGCTGCCCGGAGATTAACGGGGAGAAGGAGGGCTTGAAGGGGCCCGAGGAGTTCCGGACCGGCGACGAGTGCGGGGAGCGGGACCAGAAACGGACCCAGGAGAAGAAGAAAGCCAAGGGGCTTGGTAGGGAGTCTGACCTCAGGGTCAGCCAGCCTAGGGGACAGGGCATTTCACCTCTGCTGGTTTAGCAGCTAAATCCAGGGGGACAGGGCTCCTACCCAGTCCCTGCATGATAGTATCCGTGTCTGTGTACACATCCCCTATGGTGAAGCCACAGACCAGTGCCAAGCCCTGCTAAAAATTCTGTGTTCCCTTAGTACCAGGGTGGATGTGTACAGCAGCGTGCACACAGAGACTGAAGCTTGTCCCCGTGCTTCCTGTAGGCGCCTGCTCTGTGCGATAAAAGGGTGCAGGTCAGATCCTAAAGACTGCCAATACTTCTTGCGCTTGATTATGCAAGTACAGTAAATTGCATTGTGTATATGTTGGCAATGAAAGAGATTTCTGGACATCCACCCAGACAGGATTAGCATGTAGAGCGAGTGTTCAGTTGCCTGTCTAATTTGCACCTACGTGGCATGACTCTGACATGGAGTTGTACATGAAATTGCCCGCTAAGCCTCTTTTCCCTGCCGTGGTTGGGGAGGGGGTGGTTAGAGAGTAGGCATGGATGTGGGAGTCCAGGACGTCTGGAGTTCTTTGCCCAGCTGCCCATGTGGTCTGTGTGCTACCTGCACCAGGTTACTTGTCCTGCCTTCTCACTGGGTCTCTGCTGATCTCCCTCACTGTTATATGAGCACCTCAGCTCTAACATAATTATCCTCACTAATCCTGTATGGATGGAGAGTGAAGGCACAAAGACTTAGTGGCTTGCCCTGGGTTACCCAGGAAGTTGGTGGTGCCTCAGGGAGTTTAACCCAGGTTTATTGAGTCCATTGTCCAAGAAGACCGCTTCAGCCACCGTCTTACAGTCACCCAAGGCACAAATGTCTTCGGGAAACCTTACTAGCTGCTTGCCTCAGGGCAGGGGTTCTGCTCGGGCTCCGCCTCTATGCCTTGGGACTGGGAGCTCTGTCTGAAATGGATTTTTGCTCTGTCCTGTGTTCCAGGCAAGGAGATCACACTGCTGATGCAGACACTGAACACACTGAGCACCCCGGAGGAGAAGCTGGCAGCACTGTGCAAGAAATACGCTGAACTGGTCAGTCCCCATAGCATCGCTCCCAGCCTCACTGCCAGCTTGATGGGGAGGAGACGGGCACCCGTCCTTACTCCCTCGGTCAAGAGGCGTGACCCACATGCATGCATGCAGTTATTTCCAGATCAAGCAGTGGCCTGGAGTCCTGGTGGCTCTTGCCTGCTAGGTTCAACAGTGCAACTGGGTCCCTGGTGAAGGCAGCTTGGTGTGTTCAGCTCTGTCTCCAGTGGTCACTGAGAGTCTGTGTTCAGTAGAGATGCAAGCAGAAATAGAGGAGCCTTTGGTATATCTGTACTGGGAGGATTTCAGAGCCCAGCCCCTGCAGCCAGCCTGGGGAATGTGGCCGTTATAAAGAGCCTTTTCTCTCCTTTCTTGCTGTGCTGCAGGGCACCGCTCCTTTCCTGGAGGTCGGAGCAGCTGGCTCCAGTGTTAAATGCTGCCTCTAGTGTAGATGAGGATGTGGGGGGTGTGGTGCAGCATTGTCTCCCTAGGCTGGGCCCCAGCCCCCATCTCTGGACTCAGCCTTGAGGGGTCTTGCCCTGAGCACCACTTGGGACTCCTCTTGGCACTGGTCCTTGTGGAGTGGCCCTGAGCCAGGCTGCTCCACATGACAGTTTATTGGAGGCCGGATGCTTCCCTTGGAATTGGTTCTCCTGTGATAGAAATAATTTATATTTAGGGGAAGGAATGTGGTCTGGGGACCCCCTGCTGGGGTCCAGGGCCTGAGGCACTGGAAGCCACAACAGCCAGGTCCAGTGGCTGTACCACATCCACAGACAAAGTCATTTGGTCTTTGTCCCTCAGTGAATGGCAGTGAGGATGTCCCCACTTTCCCCCCAACCCCTTGCAGGGTGCTTACCAGGCTTTGCTGACACTGTTTCAACTCCTGTGATGCTGCTGAGTGGCACTTGCTCTAGGATGTTTCAGGAGATGGGGAGAGAGCCCAGAGAAGCCAGCACACACAAGCTGCTGCTGGAGCAGCTGCACCTTGGCTCCCCTTGCTGCCTTGGTGCGGTTTGGATTAGTCCCCTTTGGAAATGGATTAAGCTAGCCCATACAAAGTCAGTGCAGGCCTCGGTGCCATGGTGAGCTAGCGCAGGTGAGCTGTCCTCACCGTGCAGACCTTGGCTATTTCACACTCCCCATATCAGCAGACCTTTGTGGCCTCTCATTCTCAGGACAGAAGGCAGCCAAGTGACCTGCAGTTCGGGAGGGGTGAGCCAGGCTCTTGTGGCCATGCAGCGTGTTGGTATCGGATCAGAGAGTAAAGCTCGGGAGCTTTTAGTGCCTTGCTTTTAGTGCTGCCTCCAAACTGTTATGGGGTGGTTCCCACTGCCTCCCCCAGCCTAGTTGTCTCTGTCCCAAATCACAGGGTCCTAAGCCACATGTTGTCTTTCCCTCTCTGACTCCAGTCCTGTGTTCCCAATGGTGAGGGATTGGGCAGTTTCCCATCCCCTTACAGGGGGGCAACCTGGCTCTGCTCACTGTACCTGTCCTCTTTGGCACAGCCTGGCCTGCTTTGCCCTGCCCATGCAGAGTTCAGCGTGTTGGACCCTGCTGTTACAGGGAATGGGGTAGGAGGAATGATGCATTTCCCGAGCCTTTATCACTCCTGCAGGGGATGGTTGTGCCATGACACTGCTGGTTTTCCTCTGGAGAATAGTTTTCCTGGGGGCCTGGCAGGCCTCCCTGGGGCATGACCATCGTCTGTTTGGCTTCACCTCTCCCTCTGTGCCTCTCTTCTTGGCAGCTGGAGGAGCACCGCAACTCCCAGAGGCAGATGAGGGTCCTGCAGAAGAAGCAGACGCTGCACATACAAGAGAAGGACCACCTGAGGAGTGAGCACAGCAAAGCCATCCTGGCCCGCAGCAAGCTGGAGAGCCTGTGCCGGGAGCTCCAGAGGCACAACCGCACACTCAAGGCAAGTGCCTGCTCCTTCCCACCCTGTGGAGATCATGTGGGTCATCTCAGCTCATTAGATCAATGGGCTGACCTCATTGGGTGAAGGCACGAGCTGATCAGAGAACGGTGCTGTGCGTGCCAGCCTATGCATGCTGTTTACCCAGCCTTGTGCCGTTTCTATTCCGGCATAGCAGGCAGGAGATTGGGGTTTCATCACATCCAGCAGGACTGTGAGGTGGTCTGGACCAGTGGGTGCTATGATAGATTGGAGTAGGGGTGGCCAATCCACAGTAAGTGCTATGGACAGTTTCGGTGCATGACACAGCAGATCCAGAGGGACAGGGAGCAGAAAGAATGCCAGACTGGGCAGGGGACAGAAATCAGAGCAGTAGATCAGGCAGGGAAAGGAGATTGAAGTGGCACTCGGGGATGTGGGGGATGCAGGGCTTACCTTGTATGTCTGTTAGAAAAGCCCTGCTGGGCTACAGCATTGCAGCTGGAGGTGGGCAGATATACCTGGCACAAGCTCTCTTAGACAAAAGCAGGAGAAGGGAGCCTGGAATAGCAGTCATGGACTGGGGACTACCAGGCCGTAGTCAGTACCTTGTGGTTGCTGCCTGTGGGCAGTATAACCTATATGAGACCCTCTGGGGGCAGCCCCATCTCTGCACAGCCTGCCGATAGATATCACTCAGAGATGCAGCCTTGTCTTCCCTGTGGCCAAACCTTCCCAGAGCCAAGGCAGTTATGAGGGCCGGGTCTGACTGGTCCAGCTTGCCTGAGCCTTGTTTCAGGTGGACATTTTGTTGGAGAGATGTAGGGAAGGGATGCCAGGCCAGGCTGGGCAGGCAGCAGTGGGGAAGGTGGGGTGGGCTTTGTGGTTGGCCTGGGCAGGGGGTTGGGGTAAGCTGCAGGGTGTACAGTCGGCCCCCGTGCGTTGCCAGAGGGTTTTGACACTGATCCCTCTGCACCGGTAGGAGGAAGGGGTGCAGCGTGCACGGGAGGAAGAGGAGAAGCGCAAGGAGGTGACATCCCACTTCCAGGTGACACTGAACGACATCCAGCTGCAGATGGAGCAGCACAACGAGCGGAACTCCAAGCTGCGCCAGGAGAACATGGAGCTGGCTGAGCGGCTAAAGAAGCTCATTGAGCAGTACGAGCTGCGGGAGGAGGTGGGTGTAGTTCCAGGGGTGGCCTGGGGCACCCCCCACCCCACAACACAAGGGCTGTTTTCCTGAAGGTTGAGAGAGGACTGTTTTGTGCTGTGATAGCTCCACTCAAATACTGTGCTGGCAGCACAGACCTCTAAACCCCTTAGCCCCTCCCCAGGCCACTTCTTCCAGTGCTTGTTCAGCCTGTGTCTGTTGCTTCCTTTTGCCCTTCTCCCTTTCCTCTGCCCTTCCTGCCCTGGGACATAGATATATCCGTGGCGGTGGAAAGCTGTTCAACAGCCTGTGTCTTTGCTTTGTTTGGTGCTGTGAGCCCAGGGGGTCCATTAGAGCATAACCATTTCTCACAGCTGCCCTAACCAGGGCAGCAGTTCCATCCCCTTGGGATCAGTGCAGTGTAACTTAAGCCATAAGGTTGCTGCTCCGCTGTATGAACAAGGAATGTGAGGCACAGGGAACTGAAGCAGCTTCCCCCATGCAGCAAGCCAGCGGTTGCAGGAGTATGAGAACAGGGAGTTCTGTCTCCCAGCTGCTGGAAGTTGTTCCAGTGTGAGCTCCCTCCCTCGCTGAGTCAGGGGGCTGAAGGATCCTCAGTTCCCTGCACACTGTGTAGCTGGTAGCATGCTCGGGGAGTGCGGAAGTGACAGCTGTGTGTTCCCCTTGTAGCACATTGATAAAGTGTTCAAACACAAGGACCTGCAGCAGCAGCTGGTGGACGCCAAGCTCCAGCAGGCCCAGGAGATGCTGAAGGAGGCAGAGGAGAGACACCAGCGGGAGAAGGACTTTGTAAGTGCTGGCCTTTGCCACCTCGTGTAGCGAGCTGCATGGAATCATTCGGCTGATGCTTTTCTGAGACTGTTTGGCCTGCTGGAAAGTAGGTTAGCCTGGCTGGGTTCAACCAGGGTGTCCTGGCCCGGAATCCTCTGCAAGGGATGGTCCCTCTGCCACTTTGGAGGAGGTTGTTCCAAGCAAGGGAAGTCCAGGTGTGTGCTTCGAAGCTGGGGTCAGGCCCAGCTCCTGTACTTGCAGAGGTGACAGGATTTTGGGCCAGCTGACCCTGGAGACTCTGGGATGGGCCCACACCTTCCCTAGAGCCTGGGAGCTGGGAAGTGAACATCTCTTGTCTCCTTTGCTCTCTTCCAGCTGCTGAAAGAGGCTGTGGAGTCGCAGCGAATGTGTGAACTGATGAAGCAGCAGGAAACCCACCTCAAGCAGCAGGTGAGGTACCGCGACCCAGGCTCCCTAACTCTTCTTGTTCCCTCCATCTTGCACCAAGGAGATGGAAGGAAACCCCTCTCCACAAAAAGGGAGAGGGGGCCAGGGTGTCTGCCTGGGCATGTCAGTCTGGCAGGCCTGTATCAGTGCAAGAGGCATTGTACGCGATGAGCCTCTCTCCCTAGGCCCTTTGTTTCTACTTCCTTGAAATAGGGCAGAGGCCTCTGTTTTATGTATTTATTTAGTAGATTCACTTCCCAAAAAGAGGCTTTGGGCAGCTTATAGTACAAGAAAGATGGATGGGACTTTTCTTTTTCAAACCCTTCAAACTGTTACTTGTGTGGGCATTACACTTCCTCAGTGGAGGGTGAGGGGGCTGCTCACGTGCTAGAGGCGTGGTTCACAACCGTTTTTTAGACTCAAGGCTCCTCTACAATAGACTTGAGGCCCCTCCACAGCTTCTGTGAACTGAGCAGCACTCCATCTCCAGTCCTTATTTGTTACAGTGCTGACTTACTTGCGGAGGGCCCAGGCAGGGACTGAGCCTGGGCCTGCACTTACCTGCTTATCTTGTCATACCTCATGACACCCTTCAAAGAATCATGTGGCACCCCAGGAGGTCCTGGGCCCTAGGTTGAGAATCAGTATATTAGTTAGCCAGTGGAAGCTGAGGGCACGCAGCACCCTTGCAGGATTAGTTCCAGAGGGGAAAAGGAAGGCTTGTCCTCCCTCCAGCTTGGGGCACCAGACGCAAGAGGTCAGTGCTCTAAGTCTCACCTCAGAGACCTGGGCTGTGCTGGGGCTAGAACCAGATCCCAAGAGAGTTGCTTGACTTCTCATCTGTAATCCAGCCCCTCCCAGGTTGGGATGTGAACAGGGAAGGTCCAGCTGGGGGGGAAGCCCTGGTCAGTGGTGCCAAGCTGTGACACTCTCTCCCCACAGTTGGCCCTCTACACTGAGAAGTTTGAGGAGTTCCAGAACACGCTTTCTAAAAGCAGCGAGGTGTTCACCACGTTCAAACAGGAGATGGAGAAGGTACGTAACTGCGTCCCTCTACTAGAGCAGTGGTTGAAGAGCCTCTGTATGCAGGATCCGCTGCCTGCTCCCATCCCCCAGGGTTCCCAGCTCTTTGTAGAGTAACATGGATGGAGTTGGCTGCCCTTAGCAGGAAGACCAGGCTCTCTCGACTGCAGGGTAGTTGGTCTAGGCATAGCAGGAACAGACAGCCTCTGTATTAGAGGCTTTCCAGGGTCAGGAGAGGATGGAGCTGAAGCTGGGATCGGCTCAGCCCATCTCCTGTGTTGTTTGGGACTTGGTCCCTGCTGGTGACACTGACCACTGCATGTAGAGGAGAGAGCTAAAGGTAGAAGAATGTACCGGAACAACATCCTGTGACCACCTAGGACGTTGGCATCCAGCACTGTATTCTGGGAAGGCAGGTGCCCTAGAAGTGATCACATGCTTGCCCACTTCACCACCTGCCTTTCTGCCTTCTCTTACTGTGACTCAATAGATGACTAAGAAGATCAAGAAGCTGGAGAAAGAGACCACCATGTACCGATCTCGCTGGGAGAGCAGCAACAAGGCTCTGCTGGAGATGGCTGAAGAGGTATGTGGGGACCATGCTGCGTTCTGCATTCTGTGTGGCGTGAATCCAGGGCCTTGGGGGAGGCTGCTTGTCATTGTCTGTGTTCAGGCCAGAGGGGAGGACCTGGAGTATGGCTCCCAGCCATGTCAGACCTGCTGGGTCCTCAGGGCCATTGTTTTCCCTCTGCACACAGGGAAGCCAGGGTTAGTGACTCAGTGCTACAAGGCACTTGGCTGAGAGTGGCATGGGGCTGTGCAGCTGCTTCAGTCCCATAGGGGCAGGTGGCACTGATGGCCTGTGGGTGTCAGGGTCTCTGAGCACTCAAGGTTCCCCTTGCCATCTCCACTCCCCTCCTGGCCTAAGCATTGTGCTCCCACAGCTTCAGGGGCTGTCGTCTCTCCATGCAGAAAACCCTTCGGGACAAGGAGCTGGAAGGGCTGCAGGTGAAAATACAGCGTCTAGAGAAGCTGTGCCGAGCCCTCCAGACCGAGCGCAACGACCTGAACAAGAAGGTGCAGGACCTGTGTGCCCACACGCCCCAGGCTGAGGTAGAGATGCCAGAACCCCTGAAGGATCCATCTCGGGACAGCTCAGCTGAGCCGGCACCTGGGGGCCTAGCTGAGGATTGCCTTCCTCCCGTGAAGCCGCCGCACAGCACAGACCCGGCAGAGAACCCCGGGGAACTGAGCATAGGAGCTTTGGGCCAGACGGGGACTGAGGAGTGCACTCACTGTGCCAACTGAGCCCTTCATCTGGCAGGTGGAGGTGGAGGTGGGGGAAGGGAGGGGACCATGAATGTTTCACAGACTGATCCAATGTCCTTCCCTTGGGCCCTGGGCTGGGGCGAGAGCCCGGCCTTTGCGGGGCTTCAAGATTTTCCAGTTTAGGCTTTTGGAGTATTTTTAATATATATCTAACGTATAAAACTGTGCAGGGTAACACACTTTTATATACGGATCTATATAAACTAGATTGACCCACATCCCCGCGTGTGCGTGGCTGTCTGGTATGCAGAGACTCCGCTCATCGGCCACTTCCCAAAAAGACCTTGTCACGGGGAGGGGGCTACAGGCTCCTTCAAGAGCTGGCGTAGCCCAGGAGATGAGATGCACAAATGTCCCCAGTCCCCCACCTTGGCCCCAGTTTGTCTCATCCAGGTGGTTGGAAATGTCCATAGTGCCACCTGCAGTGGCAGTGCTTTTAACACTAAAGCAGAGGTGGGGAGGATTGGAGTGGTCCCTAACTTTGGATTCTCCTTTTCTTCCTAATTTAAAACCAGCCTGGCTGTGGGCAGGGCACTGGCAGGACTGGGGCTGCTGGGATTGGCTTGCCTGTTTTCTTCCCTGGCAAGCAGCTGTGTCTCTGCATTGTAGTCGGGTTGGAAGGAGGACAGAATTGATCTGTGGAAGGAACCAGGGAAGCCGTGGGTGGCCTGGGCTTCCCAGAACCCCCCCGGCCAGGCCCTTGCTATTCCCAGTGTCTCAATAGCCTTATCATTCACAGTTGCCTCTATGCTATACGCACACACGTACAAGTGTATTAAACAGTTAATCCAAAGGTCTGCTTCCCATGTGTTTGCACAAGAGTGTCTGAGGGGTGTGTGAGGGAGCAGGTCGGTCTCCCATTTGGTCTGAATTGCTCTTCCTTGTGGAAGGACCAAACCCCTTGGTGTTGAGCTGGAAGTGAGGTGGGTTTTCAAAGCAGGGGGCCATGAAGAGGAAACCTCAGCCTCCCTGCTCCTGCCGCAGCATGCCTGGGATCATCATGGATGTACCCTGGACTGAGCTGGGAGCTGTCTGCATGGACCTTCCGCTGGCTGGGCCAAGCTGGTGCCCTGCTGCTAGGGCAGGCTCTTTTACTTCAGACAGCCCCTCTGCAAGCGGCCTGCCCCAGACATCCACGCCGTCATCTGTCTGTCTGAGCGACCACTGCTCTGCACTGGAGGACTCCCCGTGGGGACGGCACCCCGCCATCTCCCTTCAGGATGGGTGGGCTGTGAGATGCTCCATCCAGCCCGCACGTGCAGAGAATCCCTGATGTGGGCAAATCTCATCACCAACATCAGCCTTTCCTAAGCAAGGGCTCAAGGGATTGCCTCAGTTGCCTGTGGCTCTAGACTTCCCTCCTTTCCAGCACAGACCTCTGCCTCTGCCGTGCTCTGCAGGCTCAAACATTTTAGCTCGCAACATACTTCTGCATCATCCTTTGACCAGCACAGCTCTCCAGGGTGTCTCCGTGGACCTGTTTGCTGGAAGAGCTCTGATTCTTCTTTCCCTCTTCCATATTTCTCTTGGGGACATTGGCTCTTCTAGTAGTTTCTCCCTAGATACCTGCATGGGACCCGTGTGAACCATTGGTGTCGCTGCTGTCCAGATCAGCCAGTGGGAGGTGCTGCCGAGTGCCAGTCTGAGCACCAGCTGCCTGGTACGACACTGCCCTTTGCGGCTGGCTCGGGTTTCAAGTGGAAGCAGGGCTGAACAAGCCAAAATCTTCCTGGTCTTCACGGAGCAGGAATCCTGCATCTGCCCATCACCCAGGGGCTCTCCCTTGAGCAGTGCAACACCTCATTCTCCACAGAGCTCGGCTTTGGTTTTGTCTCCTGCTTCCCTTGCTTTGGCCACTGCTGCTTTCTGCGCAGGGAGGTCTCTGCCTCTCAGCACAAACTGGGACTTGCTGAGCCAGAGAATGTATTGCGGCCTGCTGGGACCATGCCTCATTTCCGCAAGGCTCATTAAGCAGAAGGCCTGCAAGCTGCATCCTGACCCCCTTCCAGCTCTTGCTTTGTGAAAACTCTTACAAATGCCCCAGCTCTTTTTGCTCTTACAAAATGCCCCGTCTCCGGGGCCTGTTGTATGTGTCTTCATAGCTAATAGAAACGCAATGCAAACAGTGTGATGATGTGTCTGCACTTTCTTTTCCCCCTTCCCTGCCCTGCCTGGCGCCAAATGGCGAGATATGCCCTCTGTCCTCTTGAGAGAGAAGGATGTTTTCCTGGTTACGGTGAGCCCCATGGTGCTGGCTTCCCCTGCAGCCACCTGGGGACGGCAGGGAGAGGCAATGCCGTGGTGTCGGTGGAGCTGCCTGGGGGCTCCTACGCTGTCCTCCCAGCACAAGGAGCCAGGTGGCCAGTTGGGAGGAAAGGCGGGTGACCTGGGAGCCAGTTCTGAGCACGTGTGTGTTCAAGAAACTGGAGTAAGTCTCACCAGCAAGCGGCAGAGGCAGTTTTGCCAGCATTAGCGGTGTCCATGCCAGCGGGGCTCGTCATACCCGCACTGGTGAGCTTGTGGCCCTAAGCAGCAGGGGTGGAGCTGCCTTCCCGTAGGCCTGGCTGGGACCTTCCTTCTCTTTCCCAAATGGGCCCCAACTCTGACCCCACATCCCTCCTTCCCCTCGTGCTCGTCGCTGGGGGGCAGTTTTGAGGGTACCCTCTGGTGATGTCTCACCGCAGCCAAGCCTGACGTGGCCGAGATCTCTGAAGTGGTCTTCCTGAAACTGGGCTTGCTCTGTGCGCTGGGGCCAGGTCCTGGCAAAAGCCACTGCCCCAGGCAGAAGCTGCAGCATACCCCCTGAAGGCGGCAGGAGAGCTACATGCATCGATTCCCACAAACCCAGTAAAGGGGGAATGCGCTGTACGTGGAAATGCACCTGCTCCCTGCGCTGGTTGTGCACAGAGGAGTTAACGCCCCAGGCCACGCATCTGAAGGGCACTGGCTGCTTAACGCTGAATCGGGAATAGCTTTTGGGAGCCCAAAGGGCCAGCTACTCTTAGTGAAGGTAAGTGATGTCTTCAGCCCTGCCCGTCTGGGGGTCCCTGCTTGCTCCGTATGACCCCTTCTGCTGAGCACCCTGAGACTGATCCTGCTCAGGGCAGCAGCTTGCAGTAATGATCGCTCTAAAGGGTGTCTCCGGCCCCTGAGAAAAGGGCTGCAAGAGCAGAGGAGGCAGCCGGTTTAGACTGGATATGGCGTCTTTGAGGGTCAGCA